TTAAGCCTCCTTTTTCCACGCTGCATGGTAGTGCCTGTGGTGTGCATGCGTGTGCAGATTGCGTTTGATGCTCACTGCGCATATGTGTGTGTGAAGCGTGTATTTGTTGTGCACTGCGCATGCGCAGGCAGCAAACCAGTGGCAAACCTTCGAGGATTTCACCACTGGGGGGGGGGTGGAAATGGGTCATAGTTTATTTATTTATTTATTTTATTAAATTTTTATACCGCCCTTCTCCCGAAGGACTCAGGGCGGTGTACAGCCAAAAATAAAACCCACAACTATATGAAAGTTAAAAGACAATTTAAAAATATTAAATAATTTGGCCGAAAGAGCTAAAGTAGAAACTACCCATTAAAATAGCATTTAGGCCAGCCCTGCTTGGTGAAACAATAGCGTTTTGAGGGCGCGGCGAAAGATGCGAAGGTCGGGGATCCTACGAATCTTGGGGGGCAGCTCATTCCAGAGGGCAGGTGCCCCCACAGAAAAGGCTCTCCCCCTGGGGGTCGCCGGTCAACATTGTTTGACCGACGGCACCCTGAGGAGTCCCTCTCTGTGGGAGCGTACTGGTCGATGGGAGGCTATCGGCCTATCGACAGAAGGCGGTCTCGTAAGTACCTGGGTCCTAAGCCATGGAGCGCCTTAAAGATGGCAACCAACACCTTGAATTGCACCCGGAAGACCACCGGGAGCCAGTGCAGCTCGCACAGAAGCGGTGTTACATGGGAGCGTCGAGTCGCCCATAATCACCCGCGCGGCTGCATTCTGGACCAGCTGGAGCCTCCGGGTGCTCTTCAAGGGGAGCCCCGTGTAGAGAGCGTGACCGTAGTCCAGACGGGAGGTGATGAGGGCATGAGTGACTGTGTGTAAGGAGTCCCGGTCCAGAAAGGGACACAACTGGTAGATCAGGCGAACCTGATAAAAAGCCCCCCTGGCCACAGCCGTCAAATGGTCTTCTAGGGGCAGCTGCGAATCCAGGAGGACACCCAAGTTGCGAACCTTCTCTGAGGGGGTCAAGGTCTCACCCCCAATAGTCAGCCATGGGACTAGCTGACTATGACGGGACGCCGGCAACCACAGCCTTGGAGGGGTTGAGTCTGAGTTTGTTTCTCACCATCCAGATCCGTACAGCCTCCAAGTTACAGCTTTTGTAGTAGTAGCTTCTGTTGTGGAATTTTTCTTGATTTTACAGGAACAATGCATAGTAGCCATAATGAATGTTAAGAACATTCAAGATGTTTTTTTAAAAAAGGCCTAAAGATAAGTTTATATCTAACATTTCCTGCAATTGTGAGTTCAGCTGAAATTTAGAGCCTTGCTGGAAGTTTGGTCCTCCCCCCTTTACACACACCTCTATCATTTCCATTGCAATGATTAATGGAAAAATTGGAAGAAACCTGCCCATTGCTAAGCCCCAAGGGAAAAGCTACCAAGCCCTCTCTTATTCCAGCACACAGCCAGGAGAACAAAGGAGATCCTGCCAGATGGAAAATGCAAGCTTCCAGCTCTGATTGCTGTTGAGCTAAAGGTCACTCAAAGCATCACGTATAAACATGGCCTAAGTGATTTGTTCAAGGTCAGCCAGGGAGTGCATGTCAGATTCATGAATCAGACTCAAATACCCCAAGGCTCTTGTTTTAGTACATCAGCTCAGTTTAGTATCTTAAGAGCAGGCTTTTTCCTTCCCCTGTTCAAGCTGTCACTTACAAATTTACTGAACAGCTTCAGACCCCCTGTCACATCATCCAAAACTGGGAAACAGAAAAGGGTGCAAGGAGGCTTATTTCTCAGAGAACTCACCTCTTAATGTTCAATATCTCTAGAGCTTTGCTGGTAATGGTATTCTAAATGCCAGTTTTTGAGTTCCATCATTCCCAGGTGTGTTTGTCTGACATCTTTGTTTTGCATGGTTTTCTGTCTGTTTGCCCTTGGCCAATTCTCATGCACAATTTCTTGCTGCACGTGCAAATTATCCATCACTGTTCCAGATCAGATGGACACCTTTGGAAGGGGGCTGCTTTTTTCAGCGAGCGAAATGGATATCACGAAATGAAGCACGTTTGTCATTTCACAACCAGCAATGGGTTGCTGTAGCAACCATCATGTCTATGCTTGAGGATTCTCTATGGAACCGTATCAGCTCAAATGATGTCGAACCAACCTAGATATTAAAGATTTTTTAAAAAGTTTTTATAAAAGCTTTTGTCCTTCACTTGTCTTCAGCTACAAAGTATAGGAGTTTTTTTTAAAAAAAACATCTGCCAGGGATTTACAGTGCTAGAACATCCATTATTCCATATTAATATCAATTTCCTCTACGTCTTTCAGCTTCTGGTAAAGATGAGTTGCTGGCTTAGGAACAGCTGATAATAATCCCTCAAATCTTTAACAGCTAAAGAATTTCAAAAGATGCAATAGTATCAAGACTAAAAAGCCTAGATAGCAGGTGTTTAAGGTGAAGAAACTACCAGAAAGTTCTTCAACTTTCAAAAATTATTACTGCTTCAATGGGCTCAAGACAACAATCTGCATCAGCTATACATCACTATCCTTGGCTAATCAGCTGATGCCATTGAGGTTTTTTCCCCAATGTGTAGGACCCAAGGCTGTAGGACCCAATGGGGGAAGAAGAGACTTCCACTTGACCTGAGCAAGATTACACAATGCTAGGTTTCCCTGGATCTGGAGACTTCACTTCTAGATGGGGTTGCACTCCCTTAATAGAATAGAGTAGAATTATTTATTGGCCAAGTGTGATTGGACACACAAGGAATTTGTCTTTGGTGCATATGCTGTCAGTGTACATAAAAAGGCAAGATACATTCATCCAGAATACAAGTACAACACTTAATGATAGTCATAGGATACAAATAAGCAATCAAATCATACTAGGAAACAATCAATATAAATCATAAGGTTACAAGCAACAAAGTTACAGTCATGCAGTCATAAATGGGAGGAGATGGGTGATAGGAACAATGACAAGATTAATAGTAGTAATAATGCAGATTTAGTGAATAGTTTGATAATGTTGAGGGAATTAAGCACAAGTGGTATACAATGTACACACTATGGGAGAGAGCAGGTGGCAGTTACGGCCTGGAAATCCTTCTGCCCAATTCTGTCTTCTGCACCAAAAGCATCCATTCCTGAACTCTAAAATGCTACTTACAATTACTCCTATCTTGGTCATCATCCTAGATTGAGATGTAAGGTCTGGCTTTTTCCCTAGGCATTGGTCCAGAGTGATAGATAAGCACATCTATAGAGGTTTGAAATTGAATTAGTCGTAGGCTTTTGTGTTGTTGTTATTTTTTTTGTTCACTTTGTTTCTGATTTTTAATCCTATGTTAGTGACAATTTATAGCTGGGATAGAGAGGTATCATTTGTCTAAAAATATTTCTTCAGCTATTTTAAAATATTTTATGGTACACCTAAAATAATCAAAATTTAAAATTGAACTTCATATGAAATCACTCTTTTGATCACAATCAAAGGCTTTAAACTATTGATAAATATCTTTCTTCAGCAATTCAACCTTTTGGTTGAATTAAAATGCTACAGGTGTAGTTATGTGCTGTAGCACTTGCAATAGCACTTATATACCACTGCAGAGTGCTTTCCAGCCCTCTCTAAGCAGTTTACAGAGTCAGCATATTGCCCCCAACAAACTTGGTCCTCATTTTACTGACCTTGGAAGGGTGGAAAGCTGAGTCAAACTTGAGCCAGTGAGGATTGAACTGCTGAACTGCTGGTAGTCGGCAGTCAGCAGAATTAGCCTGCAATACTGCATTTTAACCACTGTGCCACCACGGCTCTTACCTCTGTACCTTTGAGCCAGAGTACTACTAGATTAAAAAGAAGGATGTTGTTTCCAAAGAGAAGAACAATTAAGCAGGAAATGGAAGCTCGGGGATAGCAGGAAAACTTAGTCACCTTTCTTCCAACTCTAATTATTTTAAATCTTTTAAGCTGAAACTGCCCAGAGTAACATTTTATATCTGCTAAAACCAGATAGTTTTAGTTTGCCTTCATTATTTCTGCCAGCTTTCTTTTATGACCTCAATCATCTCACAGAAATGGCAGTGATATCACTTGATTGACTGTAAATCTTTGTTCTTGTCAGTTGTGAGAAAAACATAATATGTGGCAAAGGGTAAGAGTAAGAAAGAAATTAGCGCTTAATACCAATGTCATGGGAATTCACATATCTATTACTACTTGAAGAAGAGATTTATATCTCTGTGTATTCATGCACATTAGGTATATATTAAATACTGTATATATAATAGGAAGGAAAGTTAGTATGCATTTATTCTAGCAAAGTAAAGTTAGATGCAATATTATGGTTTTGATCATTCCTGCATAGACATTATTAGTAGGGTGAAGCAAACAGCATAGATCTAGAGATTTGCATTCTGGAGATGCATATATAAGCTTGCACCATCCAAATCAATGTATGTTAGTAAAACAAGGACATTTATTTAAAAATAAACTACACCATATTCTTTTTCTACTTTTTTTTACTTGTGTAAAAAAAATGGTCCATGTCTACTGGTATTGGCCATTCACAAAATCGCTGATGATCTCGAATGGGTCCACAAAAACACCATAACTAGTAAAAATATCCCTACTGAGGTCTCAGGAGGAGAGTTGGACTCCACGTATTTCACCTTGAAATGCAACTTTCAGGTTCCATTGTTCAACCAACATAAATCAGCAGCAGAGCATTCCTGCAGGTTAAACTCTGTCCTCTTTGATTTTATGAATATTCCTATTTCTGGTAGGAAAAGTGTGAATGATCATTACTTTCCACTGAACCTACAGTGGTGGTGTTTATTCTATGTGAGTCAAAATGCATATTAGTAATAATGATACAGAGTTTGAAGTAATACGGTTTTGCCCTGTTATTGCAAATTACCTGTTATTCTGCTTTTCTCCTTTTGTGGATGGCTACTGTAATCTGACAAATTATTTAAATTTTATTATAGGAAGTTTCTGTTCAACAAGTTTGAACAGATACTAGGGCAGTGTTGGCAAACCTTTTCAGCACCGATTGCCAAAATCGAGAATGCGCGGATGTGCGTGTGCCAGAAACCAGAAAAGCAGATGTGCGTGCGAAAACCAGCTGTCCGGTATGCATACGCTGGCTCCGGCTGGCCTTTCAGGGGTCCTCACGCCTCCCTGACTGCCCCCCTACCTGCCCCCCTGTGATGATTATCTGTTTGCTACATATTTATATAGTAGCATTCATGAAGTGAATCTGAGTGATGTGGTGGCCTAGAGGTGGAGCTCTCGCCTCACAATCAGGAGGCTGTGAGTTTGATCCTAGGTAGAGGCAGATATTTCTCTCTCTGGGTAAAATGAGAATATATCTGCTGAATATAACTCCACGTTGGTGACAGGAAGGGCATCCGGCCATTAAACACTCAGCTCCATTCAATTGTCCAGATTCCAGGGATTATGGGGTCATTAAAAAAAGATGATGATGATTCATGAAGTGAATCTGTTGCATGAAATGATCTACTGTCAGGTTGATAATGCACAGCTCCACAAATCATTACAATATAACATGATATCTGTAACTCAGGGTTGAAAGCATACAGGGAGCCCTTGACTTACAAGCATTCATATAACGACAATTCAAAGTTACAATGGCATTGAAAAAAGTGGTTTATGAGCAGTCCTTGCATTTAGGACTATTGCAGCATCTCCATGGTGACGTGATCCAAATTTGGGTGCTTGGTAACTGGTATGGTTTTACAATGGTTGCAGCATCCCAGGGTCATTTGAAACTTTCAAAGAAGCCAATGGAAGGAAGCTGGATTAGTTTAACAAACTATTAATTTAACAACTGCTGCGATTTGCTTAACAATCATGCCAAAAACAGGCTGTAAAATTGGTTGCAATTCATTTAACAACCATCTTGCTTAGTAACAGAAATTCTAATTGTAAGCTGAGAACTACTTAAATTCAGAGAAAACATAAAGTCCAAAATTAAACAGGATATACAGAGGCCACCTTTCCTTGATCATTAAAGAGCAAATTGTCATTTCCTTTTTTTTTTTAAGTGTTAATGTGCTCATATGCACTTAGAGCAGCATAAAGACCATTGTGCTATTTTCTTGCAATGATCACAGGCCTAAAGCAGGCTGAATGTCCTGTCTAGATTGTGGCATGTTACCCGGTGTACAGATTTTGCATTAGAACAATGAGATGTTCTGGGATTCTCTTTTTTTGTAAGCTTACACAAGCTTACACAATAGTATAACAGCATCTGTTAAGTCTCATTTCTTTGGTATTGGTATGTTGGCCATTGTGTGGTTCTCAAGATTTGTATTGTATGCATAATTTGGTGGTAACCTTTCCAGATCCTTCTTTTGTTGCCATATTTCTTTAGATATTCCATAAATTCCTCAAACCTCCTAGAGAGTTGATGTAATCTTATCTTCTAAAGCTAGAGGTTCTTCTAAGTAGATAATATCTTCTAAGGGTTTTTGGATGTTGACATCACTATTTACATACACTTGATCTTTCTTTAGCTTCTTTGAACTAGTATCGATTCCATCAAATATCAATTTGAGATTAGAACCTCATACCAATACCAAAGACATGAGATGTAACAGATGTTACGTCTCATGTCTTGTGTTAGAACCTCTTCTGAGTTTGGAGATATTTTTTAAGCCTGGCCTTGTTTTTCCATGTTTGCTTCCATTTTCAATTTCTTTACAGACATTGAAGAAACATTGTTTCTTATCTCTTCAAACAGCTCTCTAAAATTCTTTGTACTGTTCCTTCCTGAAATCTTTGTCTTTCTTGGCTTTAGCTTTTCTTCTCTTCTTGGCAATTTCCACTACTTTCTTCTGTTGTTTTTGGCAGTCTCTTTGTCAACCTTGACAATGCCTTCAATTTCATTCCATAGTTCCTCAGGTCCCTTATCAATGAGGTTCAGGGCTTCAAAGCAATTCCTGATATTCTCCTCGTAAATGGGGAGTTTATCATTCCAGACAGCATACATTAATACAAATTTTAACAAACAGTCAACATCAATTAAAAATAACATAACACTCTAATAATAAAATAACCACAATCAACCACATATACATAGGGTAATTGTTTGTATGTGGTATCTGAAATAACTTGGCCCTGTGCCATGTAGAATTTTAAGAGTGACAGCCAAGCACCTTGAATAGCACCTGGAAGCCTACTGGAGTCAGTGCAGCAGCTCACAAAGTGCAGGTGTAACTATGAGTAACCAGGTGTGCCCAATCTACTCATGTTCCTCCATCCCAACAGTTAAAGATAGTTTTTGAGGATGGCCCAGGCAGAACACATTGCAGAAACTGTAGGTGATTAAGAAGTGAGTGACCATGAGCAGAGCCTTCAGATCCTGAAACAGGTGCAATCAGAACAAGAGACAGAGGTGTACAAAGACTGTTACTTGCTGTTGAGCTAGAGTCAAATTAACCCCTCTCCCAAGGCTGGATCCAACTGCTTTTCCCTTTCAAGAATGCCTTGACCAGCTAGGAGGGACATGCATTTAAAACATACTTACAACCTAACAGTTCCTCCTTTGTGCCTAACAAACTCAAACTCATCCTAGATAACAGAGCTAGACCAAGCTGCATCTCTCAAGCCATTTACCTCAGCAAGTAGGCCCCCTTATGGCTTTTGCAGCATCCTGCAGTCACATGTTTTATAACCAACCCATAACGAACCATGGGTCCACTTAATGGCTGTGGTGTTTGCTTAATGACCGTTACAAACAAGATCATACAATTGGGTCAGTCACATGACTGATCTGCTTTATGACTGTCACAACTTATGACTGTAATGGGCAGGCTCCATTACGGTTGTAACTCGAGGACTATCTGTACTTTAATAATTAAATAAATTCTCCCTTGGAAAACGATTAAGGAGCTGTAATGGAATGTATTCAATCCTGGCTTTGCAAAAACTTAATTCTGGAATAGATTTAGAATTCTAAAATCAAATTTGTGTTTCAGAAGTAGATTATAAATGAACTCTGTTTGTATTTGGACTATTTAAGTAATTTACTTCTACTGCCACAGTATTTTTTTTTTTTTTGAGCTAATCTATATTTTATAAAACAGATATATTGGCATTACTGTTTTCACTTAAAAATTCAGGGTATATTGGAACAACAGCACTGCATAGAGACAATTTATAAATTGCAATACCTTGCATGGACACTATGAATCCTGGGAGTTGTAGTCCTAGCATATCTGATGGCTATTAGTTTAGTAAAGACTGAAGGAATTTCTCTGAGAGATGCCAACTATCAATATTCTATTTCTATTTCTAGTTTTTCTTGCCCCCTGCTGGACATAATCTGTACTGACCTTTATTCATTGCTGTTGGTGTTAATCACTGTGAACTGGAGAGCTGCAAAGTAAGATTATCAGTGCTGGTTCAGACATTGAAGGAACATGAGCCGCAATATGTATACAATATATGGAGCCATGTCACTCATTCTAAGATTTTATGCAAAAGTGCTGAGTTGGTTATGTTTACTAAGGGAAGAAGCATTCATTACATTATTTTATAAGTGAGCTTCAATATTTGAAAGCTCTTATATCTAAAACGGTTACTAATTGTATCATGGATTGCATGAAGAACCAAACCCTCAAGTCCTGAACTAAATAAAGACATTGCTTTCTTTAGATAATGATCAACAAGCAGAAACTCACATACCTTGAGCATGTTAACCATGTGGATGATGGACTGGAAAAAACTTGTTATGTTTGCCAAGACTGAGAGAAACAGAAGAAGGAGGAGACAACAGATAAAACCAGTTCTTGAGATCAAAGAGATTAGTGGACTGTTCTTAGATCTATGAATGATTACTGAGGAATTTTTCCATACAATCACCAGAAGTCAAACATGACTTGATGATACCTGACTAATATACACTGGAGATCAGATACTAAACTTGCATTGTCAGCTCTATTGCTTTGGAAGGAATTCCAGGAAGTTGTTTTCAAGCAAACGTGTTCCTTATCATAATGTGACCTAATGTGATCAGGTTATAAGGAGAACACAACAAGGGGTTCTCCCTCACTCTTACAAAAACCTTGTAACTATTTCTGAACTGAGATAAAAGGGAAGTTATGTCTGCCCGTGAGGAAACAAGTACAGCATGCAGGGCAGAATAACTATAGAGGTAGTCTTCATTTAGTAACTGCCTCATTTAGTGACTGTTTGCATTTACAACAGAAATGAAAAAATAACTTTACATCCCATCCTCACATTTATGACCTTTTCAGGTCTGTAAAGCAAAGGAAAACTGAAGTAGGATCAGAAGCACAGTCACAGTTTCATTTAGTGATCACTTTGCTTAATGACCATGTTGCCCACCCCAATTATGGTTGTTAAATTAATATTACCTGTAGTGATTTGACAGGTGCTGATAGACCTATCTTTTAATGATGATTCACTTACCTGCTCTATACGAGTTCAGTGCAGATATGAGAAGATTATACCCTGTTTTCCCCAAAATAAGACATTTCCTGATAATAAGCCCAATCGGGCTTTTGCGCGCATGGCAATAAGGCCAAGCGCATATTTCAGGGTTCAAAAAAATATAAAACAAAGTCTCATTTTTGGGGAAACCCGGTAGCAATAGCACTTAGACTTCTATACTGCTTCACAGTACTTTTATAGCCCTCTCTGAGCGGTTTACAGAGTCAGCATATTACCCCCAACAATCTGGGTCCTCATTTTATCCATCTCAGAAGGATGGAAGGCTGAGTCAACCTTGAGCCTGGTGAGATTCGAACTGCCAGCAGTCAGCAGAAGTATCCAGTAGTGTTGCATTCTAATTGCGGCTCTGGTTATTTGGATATATTTTCTCTACAAGCCTGATGTTTCTTTGATACCAATTTGTTTTATTTATTTCATACTGCATCTGATGGGTCCATTAGAAAAATGATGTAGGAGAGCATAGGGGTGAAATGTAAAATTTGTTACTACCGGTTCTGTGGGCGTGGCTTGGTGGTGGGAGTAATGTGACTGGGTGGGCGTGGCCAACTTTTTTTTTTTAACTTTTCAAAGCATTTTTTCTAATGCTTTGAAAAGCCTCTGCTGATCAGGCAACTCAACTGGGATCATCAGAGAGGCTTTTTAAAAAATGCTTTGAAAAGCTCTCTGCTGATCAGGCAACTCAGCTGGGATCGTCAGAGACTTTTCAAAGCATTTTTTTTTACCACCTCTTTGGCCAAGAGGTTGCAGAAAAAAATGCTTTGAAAAGCCTCTGACAATCCCAGCCGAGCTGCGCGATCATCAGAAGCTTTTTTTTTTAATTTTAAAAGCATTTAAAAGCATAGAGGTTGTAGAAAAAATGCTTTTAAAAGTTAAAAAAAAAAGCCTCTGATGATCGTGCAGCTCATTTTGGCGTGGTGCGGGTGGAGGGGGGGGTTTGCAGGGATTTTTGCTATCGGTTCTCCGAACCACCCACCGCCATTGCTACCGGATCGGGTGATCCAGTCCGAACCAGGAGCATTTCACCCCTGGGAGAGCATCATTATTAAAATACACTAGAAAATAAATTGACATACAAGTTACTAGCAGTTTGACTGTGAAATCAACATCTTAAACTTCCCTTTAAAGGTTATGGATCCAAGGACCGAGACTTTAAGACATGCCCACAGAAAATAAACCAAGACTTGGGAAGGATTTTCTAAATGACCGATAGCCATTGGTTTTAATAAGAATATGATTCTTTTGCTCTGATCATGAGCTCTGAGCTATAGTATGCAGGAGGACAAGGAGATAGCAGATCTACAATTAATTTATCTCATTGTATTCCTGCATACTTTTTGTAAAAATTAAATTAAGCAATGTCCCTAGTTTATGCTATATCTGTGTCCCCCTCTTTCTTCTAAGGGGGGATAATTTTCAGGCATTTATAGAAAAACCTGAATAATTAGATTTTTCTTAATCATAATAGCAATAGCAATAACACTTGGACTTTAAAGCTCTGTGGTGTTTTCTCTCTCTGAGCAGTTTACAAATGTCAGCATAATCATGAGAAGATCCAGAGCGAAAAGGCTGGGGATAAGGTATTTATTCCTATATTCATGTATCCTGTATCCATGATTAAAGTAATGAATACCTGAAGATTAAAAAAATTTTTTTCCAATGAATCTGTTATAAGTGCCAGCTCTCTTGTGCCCATAAAACAGTTGCATTTGTTTATTATTACTTGAAAAGGGGAGAAGTTGCTGGATCACATGTGGACACAAGAGGGCAGTCCTGCTTTTGACACAATAGTTATGGTTGATGTGGAAAAGGTGAAGTATTTAATAAAAGAGAATATTTGTAGCTCAGGGTTGACATTTATTTATTTATTTATTTATTTTAAATTTATATACCGCCCTTCTCCCTGAGGACTCAGGGCGGTGTACAGCCAGAATTAAAAAAACATAAAATACAAATATTAAAAAACAATTAAAATATATATAAATTTGGCCCAAAATTAAAAATACAAACCAATTTAAAACATTTAAAATTTCTTCTTAAACCAGCCCAGCTTGCTGGAAAAAATGGGTTTTAAGGGCACGGCGGAAGGCACTAAGGTCTTGGATTCTCCTTATCTCTGGGGGCAACTGATTCCAGAGGGTAGGTGCCCCCACAGAGAAGGCCCTCCCCCTGGGGGTCACCAGCCTACATTGATTGGCTGATGGCACCCTGAGGAGGCCCTCTCTGTGGGAACGCACGGGACGATGGGAGGTCGTCGGTAGCAGCAGGCGGTCTCGAAGATAGCTAGGCCCGATGCCATGGAGCGCTTTAAAGGTAATAACCAGCACCTTGAAGCGCACCCGGAAGACCACTGGGAGCCAGTGCAGCTTGCGTAGGAGCGGGTCCTTGGTGCTCTCCAAGCTTGATTGTTTTTTTTTTTAGACGCTTCATTACCCAAACTAGGTGACATCATCAGTGCATCATCAGCACTGATGATGTCACCTAGTTTGGGTAATGAAGCATTGCAAGAAAGAAAGAAAGCTCAGAGAGCACCAAGGACCTCTCAAAGTGAAGTATGCCCCATGCATATCAAAGGATGAAACAGAACACTGATATACCACTCCAGCAGTGTAAAATATCAATTGCATAATTCACCATCTAGTCAATGCCATATCAATTATTTCTCAGGGAAGCATTTGTTCAGATACAATATACATTTTTTTCCAATGCCTTTAAGTCACTCTTGACTCTCAGCAATTGCCTGGACAAGTCCCTACAGTTTTCTTGACAAGCTTTCAGAAGTGGTTTGCCATTGCCTGCTTCCTAGGGCTGACAGAGAGTTGCCTGAGGCAACTCTGTTGACTTGATGTCTGAGGTAAATCTGAAGTTCCCACTTTAAAGTAAATCTAGAACTCCCAGGCTCCCACTTTCTAGCCTGAAGTCTTAACCACAATTCTTATTCCTTTTGCAAAGTTATATCTTTCTCTAAAGAGGACAAAATTACTTTTTAAATGAAGTC